AAACTGGCTTAATAACTAAGTTTTTCTTCACCTTGTGGTCAGGATTTAAAGTCCTCTTCTCTACCTTCTTAACATTGAAAAGGATTCAATTTTTAAATTTGTCAACCTAAATACATGTGTTCATAGTTATAGTAATTAAATACAACCTAATTTTTTATGAGTAATCAGCTTTGGAACTTGTGTTGCTATCAGTTGATATTTAAAAATGATTGTAAAGGAAAAGCTAATTCCTTTTTGTAGTTTGTTGGTCAAACATAACTTCATCAGAAGCTGTCATGAGTCAAACAGATTGATGTAAATGTGCTCATTTTATTTAGAGTGTTGTGTCTATGAAGACATGAAAACCTTTTAGCCAATTAGAAACCAGTCTCTTCTGTGTCGATGGTACACTTTACTACATCCTAAACTAAGATGAATAAATCATGCTGAAATTTACCTGCCAGCAAGATGTCATCAACACCATCATCGTCCTCCTCATCATCATCTTCATCCTCATCATCATCTTCATCCTCATCATCCTCGTCAGCTAACGGCTCTGCTGTGATTTCAGCTTTAAGGTCATCTTCATCTTTATCAGCATCAACAATTGTTTCAGTGGTTTCTTTTTTATCTTCAAGATCTAAGGTGAACTCAAATGAGCTCGTGTCCAAGTCTTCGTCATCATCATCATCATCATCAGTTGTGTCATAGGAGATGTCGTCACTGATTCCAACAGATTCTTCATCCGTTTTAAAAGCAATGTCGTCATCATCATCTTCATCACCCAGGACTCCACTGTCTGTGCTCGCAAAGGGAGGAGCATCCTCCTCTTCCTCTTTTTCATCGTCATCGTCATCATGGATGTCCTCTTCAATGACATCATCAGGTTTGTCATGATCGTCTTCAGCTTCCTCAAGTTTAGCTAGAATGTCTTTGTCGAGGTCACTGTCAAAGTCGTCGTCTTTGAGGTCTTCGTCATCGTCTTCATCATCTGCAAAGTGTTCAGAGGATGCAACAGAGATGTCCTCGTCTGATTGGTCCAACTCATCATCATCATCATCATCATCATCATCATCATCCTCATCAGTGACTTCATCATCATCGTCGTCATCTTTGACAGCAGGCAGAGGAGCAAGATCTTCCTCTTCTGCGAGTTTTTGATCATCGTCTTCCTCATCATCACTCTGTGCTGCGATAGGAGGAAGATCAAGATCCAGGTCATCGTCAGAGTCCTCTGCAATGACATCATCACTGTCAGATGTGGCAACACCCTCAGCTAATATGTCGTCTTCATCATCATCATCATCAGCTTCCTCCTCCTCCTCCTCACTGGACAGAAGTGCAGCTTCACTGACGTCTGAGGTGTCAGTGAACTCATCGTCACTGGTTTCATCCTCATCATCTTCCTCTTCATCTTTGTCGTCATCTTCATCAGGTAAAGTTACGTCTTCATCGCTGTCTTTGAGGTCAACAGGCACATCGGACTCAGAATCAGGAGACACAGCCGACTCTTCATCCTCAGAAGTGGAGATAGGTTCAGGAGACTCTTCCTCATCATCATCCTCAGCACCAGCAGCTGCAGGTTCCTCAGCAGACTCTTCTTCATCGTCATCTTCATCGGCAGCATCTGCCTTCTCTTCTTCTTCGTCCTCATCATCGTCATCATCGTCGTCTACCTCCACTTCTGCTGCCTTCTCTTTCAACTCATCTTCATCCTCGTCATCTTCATCAATCTCTGGTGCAGCTGATTCTGGTTCTTTCTCATCTTCCTCATCGTCATCTTCCTCTGCCTCAGCAGCTACCTCCACCTCCTTGTCCTCCTCTGCCTCAGCCACATCCTCCTCTTCATCAGCAGCTGCTTCAACTCCCTTCTCCTCCTCTTCCTCCCCTTCATCTTCCTCTTCCTCCTCCGCCTCCTCTTCCTTTTCCTCCTCTTCTGCTCCTTTAGCCTCATCTTCCTCTCCTTCCTCCTCCTCCTTCTCTTCAGCCTCTGCTGCTGCCTCCTCGTCCTCCTCCTCTTCAGCTTCTCCTGCCTCCTCCTTCTCCTCTTCCTCCTCCTTCTCTTCAGCTTCTGCTGCCTCCTCCTCCTCCTCCTCTTCCTCCTCCTTCTCTTCAGCTTCTGCTGCCTCCTCCTCCTCCTCTTCCTCCTCCTTCTCTTCAGCTTCTGCTGCCTCCTCCTCCTCCTCCTCCTCCTCCTCCTCTTCCTCCTCCTTCTCTTCA